AACTTGCAAACTTTCCAAGTTGTTGAAAAAAAAAAAAAAACGAAAAACAGAACAGTAATTACGTCAGTTCACGTACTGTAAACATATGTTGCATCTGCTCTAATTGCTCCAGTGAGCTGACCAGTAAATTTGGAAAAAGACCAAATTTTAATCGTTCCATCGCTAGATGCACTTGCAAAGGAAGTTCCGGCGGCATTCACACTCATACTACAATAAAAAAAATGTTTCCTTCCAAACTTCCCGAGAAAATCAAGAAGTGAATCAAATTTTGAAACTAGACAACTGAAGCGGAGTTCATTGAAGACAAAAATGAATGTTTCAAATGTTCTTATAGAAGACCTTGTAATCGCATCACCGTGTTCGTGTAAATGAGCGATCAATCTCGTCCCCCGCAATGACGACGGCACGCTCGTTCGTTTTAATGAGTTGGGAGTAGCAGAAATTCTGGAGCTAACAGACGAAATTAAACGTCGGCACTTCATGTACCGTTCTCTCTTGTGTGTCAGTAATTCGGAAAGTTGAACTATACTAGTAGACGAGCGTACTGAAACTACAAATCGACAACAAAAAGAAAAAAAAGTACAACCCAATTTCTGAGTGAGCACAGATTTACTTCCGATTTATGGTAATATAAGTTGAGGATTGAAGTTCAACTAACAGGTCCCTGAACAGGTCGTTCCGCCGCTTTGCATGTAAACACCGTATGAATTCTGACGAATACTTCCTGGTTCGCTTAGAAAAAAGTTATTAGCCTCCATGCTCCCTACACTTCTCAAGGTAACTTCAGGATTTTTCTGCTCTCCAGTATTAAAATCAAATTCTCTAAGATTAACATTGGTAAGCAAGTTGCCAAGATCCAATATGCCATTCTCTGTATCAGGTGAAAGCCTTGCATCGAAGCTGAAAAAAAAAGACAAATTCAATTTGCCTTCAAAGTAAAAAAACAATCAGTTAGACACTTATTATAACCTTAAATACACAAAGAATGTGAAGTTCAGACTGAGATGTAGTAAGCTATACCTGGAGATTAAGAGGATTTATTTCAGCATAAAATTCTTCAACTGTATTTTTTAAACGTTCTGGAAAGCGCACTTAAAATGGAAATTGAAATAAAGCAATAAATTTTGCAAAACTTGTTACGGAACCAGATGAAAAGAGAAAGAAAGTAAGAAACATCTGATGCCTTTTAAAAATTAAAGATATTCTCTCTTAATCTAGCCCAATTCTATTCCCAACTGTTTCCGCTACATAAAATTACAATAAAAAGTACCAAAAAAAACACATTTAAAAATTTTTTTGCAAAGACCAAAGATAGAAAATAAAAAACATTTATAAATAAAAAAACACAATGGAAGAGTAAGAAGATAGAAACCTTGAACGAAAGTTACACATTTTTGGTAGAATAGACTTAAATTTGATAAGTTTTTCTTCTTGAGAATCCGTCAGATCGAGTCTTTTCAGTTGGTTCAAGTAAGGCTCCACTGAAGATGCTGCAGGAAGCGTGCTGGAAAAACATAACGAAAGAAATGAAAAACTGTACAGCGATCTGCCGATTTCAAAATATTTAATGAAAAGAAGCAACATAAATATTTTCTGAAAACTTCAACAACTGAAAACCTTCTTTCAGACGCAAAAATTGATCGAGATCCACCATCCAAAGAAATTAATAACCTTTTGTTACTGAGGCACTCTAGAAGTTTATCCACAGGAGTCTTCTCGACAACATATGTCCAAATGTTTCGAGGTATAGGAGGTTTTAAACAAGAAGCTACTGTAAACTAAAATTTAAGAAAGTTGAAGGTGACTAATACTTGATGTGAGAAAAGATGACACAAATGGATAAAATGGTTTTTTTTCCAACAATAAAAAACATAAAAATAAACCTTCTTATTCATTCTTATCAAATTTTCTTCTAGATATTCTCTAACAGCAGGTGTCAATTTGCAGTAAACATCCGCAATGTTTAAAATGTTATCCAGAAGACAAATAATATTTACAACAGCCAAACGCAACCATTCATTCTAAAACAAAAAAAATCCACATGGGCAGCTACTACTAAATGTGAACAATTTCTTTTATCCTATTAACTCGAAGTTTTCCACAAAAAATCAAGTACCGAAAATATATTCACAAAAGAAACCTACAGACATTAACAACTAAGCTCAACCAAATCTACTATAATCTTGTACCATCCTTCCATCAATTTTTCACTCATTTTGCCTGCTCAGTGTACATGTGCAGGAATAAGGCAAAACTAAAGTTAAAGCTCTTTTACCAAACATTCTTCATCTGCGCTATCAAGCAGAAAAGTCTCAAAAAACCCTTACTAAAGCGTTCCAGCGAAAATT